AATCTTCTATAAAGACTAATTAATTCCTCAAGCAGAATATTAACCGGGGAATGAAAATTCAATTCAATCCCACTTCTTCATTCATCTTATATTTTTTAAATTAATCTCACATAAATAGATCCCAGGATGTAACTAACTTTTTTTAAAATTCATGAAATTCATCTTGCTGCAGCATCCAACAATAGTCAGCCAGCATTGATGGATTCCAATTGCCCTGATACTGTTTTTCCATTGTGACAATATCCTGATGAAACCTTTTGCCATGTTCATCATAGACTGCACCTAGATTTTCAGTGTGAATGCAGAAAATAAATCTTCAGTGACATGTAGCATTTCATGGTCTTCATGTTGTAAAAAGTTTGTCAAATAGCTGCATGCAGTTTGATGTTCTGCCAAGAAAATTCTCAACGACATCCTTGGATGCTTTCCAGGTGATTTTTTTCTGGGCCCACTAACAGATCTTCGAAGCACTTGTCATTGATGACATATCTCATCTGCGGACCAACAAAAATGCCTTCCTTAATCTTGGCATCAGTTATTCTTAGAAACATCTGTCTCAAATAATGAAAACCCTCACTTGTTCATTGCTTTCATAAAAATTCTCATCAGTCTGAGTTTTATGCGAAACAGAGGCAAAAAAAAAAACCCCTTTGTCAGATCATCAAGTGGTTGATGTGGCATGATTTTCTGCCCTGGAATCAAATTATTTCAGAATGGCCATTTGTTTTTAATGTAATGCTACTCTCTTCATGGCTATCCCATTTACACATGTAACAACAGTACTTTGTATATCTAAGCTGCATTCCAAGTAGTAGAGCCACTACTTTTAGATCTCCACAGATATTCCAGTTGTACTTGGTGTACTGGATGTGCCTCGACAACAGTTCCATGTTTCCACAAAGCAACTTAAAATGCAAGCAAAAAATTAGTAGCTTTAAACTATATACAAGAAGAAACTGCAAAAAGATAAGACTTCTATAGAATAGTACATAATAGATTGAATTGCAGTTATTTTTATGATTAGGCTCAAAAACCTGGAGGACCCCAAGTATTCAGGAACAAATCTTTGTTGTCCAGCATTTGTTTTTGGGTTTAATAATCTGGAAAATGTAAGTGGTACACCTGGTAAGAGTAGTTTAGCTTTACTTAGATGTTCAAGAAAATGTACCCTATCAGAATAAAATCAAATTTAAATGCTTTACTTTCAATGTATATTCCCACTGACTAAATTCAGCACTAAGGAACATAAAAAAGAAAAGCTAGATCACAGAACAAAATCCACATCAGAGCAAAACTTTTATTAAGAAAACTCAAGGTATCAAAGCCATATTTAGAAACTCACTCACCTCCATTATAATAAATCCATAGCATGCACCCCCATTCTATCTCCTCAATTTTTACCAAACCCTGTACCAATGCAATATTTATGTATAAACATAATAATTTGATGCTTTATCTTGTTCCATAGGTCAATCTACATCAAGCTGGTATACCCAGATATGCTGGGACTGCTAATTACTCTTTGCCAACAGTCTAACTTAAAATTCTGGAACTATAGTTCCAACACATCTGAAAAGCACCAAGTAGGGGAAATCAAACCTAACTGCAGATTTCTTAATTTTCCTTATTTTTGCTATATTCTCAGGATTGCAAAAAGACAATATGAAACATTTATAGAAGACCTTAACTAAGACTGGTGAGGTACATGTAATAGATACATCATAAATTCTGACTTCTTGCCACAAACAAGATTTCTTTCCATATTTAAATTATACGTTACTTGTTACAGGAAACTAGAGGTTAAAAAAGCTCAGCTGTATGTCTTTCCTGCATCTATGAAAATAAATTATTCTTTGAGAAGAACTTGATATTTTATCAAACTCAATTATTATCTTTTAGCATGTTTTATAATCCATTATAAAGATGCAATTCAAAAAAATCATCAATATTTATAATAGTACATGTATTATATTTGACCTCTATTTTTTAAATAGAAACCAAGTTAATGTTTACAAGATACTTCTTTAGAACATACAATATACAATAAACAATTGGAACTAATTCACAAGCATCAGAATGACAAAAAGGATGGTACCAATATTCCATATGTTAACTAAAAGTTCTAGATGGATTCCTCAACATAGAGAACATACTCAGGTAAAACAAATGTTGGCTTGGTATGATCTCTAGCTACTGTTTTAAACCATTAAGAGCCTCTCTCTTTTGAGTTATGTAGAAACAATTTAGAAAGAAGAAACAATTTTGCAAAAACTGTATCAACATCACTACCACTTTGCTCCTTTCAAAGAAGCTCATTGAGAATGATATAAGTGTTCCTTTCTAAGATATCTATGAACTGAAGGGACTTCAGGAAAAGGAAAAATGAGAAAACTGAGGTGGAGATTTAATTATGCCACTGCTTGTATGAATAATATCTGTCCTTCAGAATTACTGTCCCTCTGTAGCATGCCAGTCTGCAATGCTACTATCTTTCCTAAATTTAGATATTTATTAAAGGATCTTGATAGTTGACAAGTTAATTTTATTTAAACATTTATTTTATTGTAAATATCATAAAAACTGAGAAAATACTAGGAAGTTTCCAACAGAATAAATCCAAAGATATTTATTCAATCAAAAATATTAATCTTGTTCAATCTACTGGTAGGTGAGCAAATTACAATGGGGTACAACTGCTACATGTGTTCTATGCCTACTCTTCAATCATTTATTTCCTTTTTTGAATACTAGCCAATATATAAAAGATAGTCAGCTCCCAAAATACAAACAAAAAAGTTATTAAAGTACATGGATCTCAATAGATTACATATTAAACTGTAAACATACCACAATAATGCTATCAGGATTTAAATGAGAGTTACATCATGTAATAATTACAATAAACTCTACAAAGAGAAATGGAGAGCCAGTTTGAGCTAACGGTTAAAGGCACCAAACTAAAAATCAGAAAGCCATGAGTTCTAATCCTTCCCTAGGCACAAAGCCAACCGGGTGACCTTGGGCAAGGTCTCTGTCAATTAGCCCTAGGAAGGAAGCAATGGCAAACCACTTCTCAAATCTTGTCAAGAAAACTGCAGGGACTTATCCACATAGGAGTCAACATTGACCTGAAGGCAACCTCCTCCCCCACATTACAAAGAGATGAATTCTACATTTTAAATGTTTTACCATTACCACTTTTTTAATGCTTGGAGAGAAAAACAACCTATTACAATATATGGAAGTTTCCAAGTACCCGTTAGGAAACACAATCTATTTTGTAAAACCACCAGTGCTGATGAAATTTAAACTGATGTCCTACTAACTTCTCACAGTGATTACCAAATCAAAGCTACTCCACTTTTAGTACTGTGCCGATTCTGCAGATCATCTAGCACCACCCACAAACTGTCAGTATATGCGTACATTATGATACTATGTATCAATAATGGAGATACTGGCATTGATGATGTTACCTAGTTTGGATGAAACTTCTGCAAGAAAACAACCAAGCTCAGAGAACACCATGGACCCCCTGATTCTATATACGCCTTCACATAAAATGCATAATAGTAAATGTAAGTTATCATAATGGCAAATAATCTATTACAATACCGCAATAAAATTATTCAAAACGGAGTAAGTATTCCTTTCATATATTAAAGTCTGAAGAGCGAGGCCTGTACTTGAGATATTTAAATATTTAAGTGCTCAGTCTGAACTACAGGTAGTCCTTGACTTACGACCAAAACTGCGCCCAAAATTTATGTTGCTAAGTGAGACAGTTCTTAAATGAGTGTTTCTTCATTTTATGAACTTTCTTGCCATAGTTGTTACATAGTTGTTAGGTGAATCTGGCTTCCCCATTGACTTTGCTTGTCAAAAGGTGATCACATGACCCCGGCACACTGCGCCTGTCATAAATATGAGTCTGTTGCCAAGCATCTGAATTTTGATCACATAACCACGAGGACGCTGCAATGGTTGTAAGTGTGAAAAATGGTCCTAAGCCACTTTTTTCAATGGCATTGTAACTTTGAACTTTCACTAAGTGAAATTGTTGTAAGTTGAGGACTACCTATATAGAATAAAATATGCTATTAGTGCATGGCATCTATTTTAGTACTTAGTATCCAATTCACATTCCTTTCTTTTATTAAAATTACTTCAATTTAAATATGTTGGTATTTAGAAGTAAAATCTCACATTTAGGCCTACAAGTGTATAAAATTATGTTCTGTCTTACAATGCACCAGCTATATAAACCATGAAGGAAGAATAAAGAAATGTGCAGAAATATATAATAAACAATTATAAGAGCTTGTAGGAAATTAATGGATTATTTGAACATGAAGGCCAGCAGTAAATTTAACATAGTGCTCCAGTTTTAATGCAAATAAACTCTTCAGATATTTTTTTAAGCAAACAGAAGCAGCTGCAGGGCAGGATCAGGAAGAAAACAATAAGCACAAGATTTCCAAAGCAGAGTGGAGAAAAAAGAACAGCTTGAACTCTGAACAAACTTCGCAGGCTTTGCTCTATATAAGGCCCAAATCAGTTCCTCTTTTATCCCCGACCTTCTTGAATAACCAACATCTACCTGTATAACCGTCAAAAGAAATGTGCAAACGCCGATATTTTTTAGATGGGACCAAACAGAGCGCTTAATCCTATCAAGTGCAAGGTCCTCGACACAGGAGAAAAACAATGAAATGTTGAAAGGAAAGGCTGTTCTTCCCCCAACTCCCCCTTCCCCCCCCCTTTTCCTTGACAGGGAAGGAGATTAAAAGGTGGGAAAGAGCGTGGAGAAGTTTGTCTCCAAGTGTGAAGGCGAAAAAGAGAGAAGGCAGAGAAGGCGCCAAAAGGAGACTACGGGGCTCCGCTAAGGAAGCGGCCGCCCACTCGAGAAAAGGCCCGGGAAAGCCACCCTCCCCACCCAGGGCACCTGTAGCCCCAGGCCAAGCGCGCCGCGACGCCTCGTGGATCCGGGGAAAATTCACCTTTGAGCTGGGGCAGCGGGAAGAGCTCCACTTGGCTGCTCTGGCAGCGGAACTGCGACGAGCCCTGCGACCGCTTCTGCTTCTGAGCCTTGCGCACCGACCTCCGGGTGAAGCCGTCCACTTTCTCCGCCGCGGTGATCGCCGTCGACATGGCGGGGCTCGCAGGAGACACTGGCGGGCCCGTTTCGTCCTCGAAGCATAAACTCCACGCCGGAAACTGAAAACGAAGCAGCGGCGGGTAGCGCTGGGTCGCCCCTTAATGGGACATGAAGAAGGGAAGGAGGGACGCTTGGGAGCCAGTGCCCGAGTCTTGTCCAAGGGGGTCCAAACTCGGGGAGAGATTCCCTTGGAAGAAGCCTCCGAAGGGACGGGGCTTCCGATTCGACGGGAGGCTTGTTAATCCGATGTTGTCCGCAAAGGGAGGCTCCAAATCCGATCCTCTCCAAGTTTAAAGACGGAGGAGATACCGCGCTGCGTCAGGTAGGCAGGCAGGCGGGCTCCCCAGGACGGAGCCGCCGAGCTGCAGCAAACAAGAATCCGAGGAAAGTTTCTACTCCGCCCTGCGGTTGCACCGCCTCGCCTTCGCCGCCCGCCCGCGAGCAGCAAAACTTTTGAGCAGCGGAGTCGGCTGCGCGGGGAGCTGTCTCAGAGGTCGCCCGAGTCGCCCTGCCAGGAGCTGGCGGCTGAGAACCGGAGCTTAACAAAGAGCCCGGGGAGAAGCCCCGGAGACGCCGGGCGATGCAGCCCTTCAGCCCGCATCGGGAGCTCCCTCGGACTCTCGGGCCAACATCCCGTCGCGCTGCTTTCTTCCTGCTCAGGGTAAGCGCCGCTTCCTCCTTCCTGGAGCTCAGGGAGGCCCGGCGTAACTGCGAGCAGGGCAAAAGCTCACGCTTCCAGAACCAGCGCGCAACCTGCTGGAAACGCTCGAGCAACAAGGACAAGAAGAGTTCCGAGTCTGGAGCGGAGGCGGGGCCAGAAGCAGCGCCAGAACTCGGGAATAGGGGGAGGGGATTAACAAGAGGGGGGGCGGGGGAGGGGGAAAGGAAGCGGTTGGAACAACCGTTAAGAGGAAGGCCGGCCGAAGAGCGATTGACGGGAGCACGCAGCCAATGGAGAAACGCGGGGTCTCCGTAATTACCATAGAAGGCGGAACAACAGAAAACAGCCGGCTTTACAGGAGGCGAAGCGACTGACAGCGGAGCGGCCCAACGTGAGAAGACGAAGGGTGGACGTCTCAAAGAGGGAAGCGATTGGGTCTCGGAGCAGCGGAGGGGGGGGAGGAGTGGAGGATGCCAAGCCGTAGTTGGGGGGGGGAGTTTATTTTCGATGCCTTTTGGCAAAGGAGCCGCTTCGGTGAGATTCCTCTGCGACTGTTGAGCGTGCTGTGAAACGCTCTTTACTCTGAACCTTCCCTTGTTTTTGCCCTTTCCGGCTATGTATTTGGTTGCCTCCAGCTATTATATTGCGACGTTTCATCTAGCCCAGAGGTCCTCAAACTTGGCAACTGTAAGACTTGTGGACTTCAACTCCCAGAATTCTCCAGCCAGCTATGCTATGGGAGTTGAAGTCCTTCTTAAAGTTGTCAAGTTTGGGGACCTCCGATAGCAGGTGCGCTGAGTTTAGGATTCGGGAGAGATCAGAATCTGTAGCAGCGTCTCTCAATCTAAGAATTGGGTGGATTTCAACTCCCAGAATTCCCCAGCTGAAGATCATTGGGCTGAGTTGACGTCCGTGCAGTTCGAAGGCTCTAAGATTGAGAAATACTGATTGGGGTTATTTGAGTCAACCACCGTTCGCTTAAAGCTGGCTGCCATGCCCATGTGCGAACTCTGCCAGGTTGCCTCTTCCTCTGACTTCGACGGATTTCTCTGCTTCCCAAAACTCGAAGTGAAAACAAAAGCAAGAAAAGGGGTAAGACTACCGTTTCTGGGCTCCAAAAGGACCGTTCGTGCATGCTCCACGCTGCCATGTAGCAGCCTAAAACATGGAGAAGCGGAAGAGGGAAGCGGAAACCAACCATCTGAATCCATCTACAATAGAACTGTAAATGGGCAAAGAGCTAGATGTGTTATGCAATCTTAGGTGTCCGCTAAGGGGATTAAATGACAAAACGTGAATAATGTATGTGGTTATTTTTCTGTTTTTAATTCCGATTTACAGATTTGGGTAAGTGTAGGCATCTTGGAATTGGCTTTTGCAGTGGTCTATAAAAACCCTATAAAATAAATAAATCAATGTTGACATAATCATGCAAATTTCATATGTATTTGTATCAGATACTAAAATGTATTTTTGGTGGCATTTGTGTGATGATGCCACCATGTGTACATGATGTCTTTGTAGCTTGCAGTGGTTTATTTCTGGCAAGCTTTACTGACATTTATTTATTGAGATCTAGTCTCACACCCCATTCAGCATCCTAAATGATGGATTGGTTCCACTCTGCTCCTCCACATCTTGGTTGATGCTCCTCCACATCAACTCATGTTACAAATACAATCTGTATCAATATTGTTTGGAGCAAGACAAAATTCCTGCAGAGTCAATAAGATATATCATGCATTTAGAAACTGTATCTTGCTGTATATACAATATTTAATCTATTTTGGATTCTAACTTGAGCTATATCCATTAAGAACACAAGATCAGAATATCCTGTTATTCAATATATCACAATGAAGTTGCACTAATGGAACACTTCTTAATGTAACTTTCCGAACTGAAAAGGCTGTTCAATTCATTTATTTTACTGGTGTTTTCATGCTAAATCCTCAAATTTCACCTTGAAGAAGTGATTATAGCCATGATGGTGAACCTATGGCACGTGTGCCGGAAGTGGCACATAGAGCCATGTCTCCAGGCATGCCAGCCGTTGCCCATTGCTTTTCCGTGTTCCAGCATGCACATGCGTGCCGGCCAGCTAGTCTTCATGCGTGCAGGAGTGCCAGAAACCGGAAGAGCAGCTCTGCACATGCGCCTCGGGGAACTGTTCTTTTAGTTTCCGGCACTCCCGCATGTGTGCGCAGGGAAGATGCTCTTCCAGTTTCCAGTGTTCCCCCGCACGCACTGACACACACACTCCCGTTTTGGCACTCAGTGCTGAAAAGGTTTGCCAACACTGGACTATAATAAAAATCATCTTGTCAAGGAATTTAGTCTGAAAATTATGTAGATCCACTAAATATCTCAAACTTGATTGCTATTAATAATGTTTTTCTTTTGTTGTGATTTCCTCTTAATATACTAGTGAAATCCAGACTGTCTTTGTCATGTGAGTTTCCTTGCTCTATTTAGTGGATATGTATCTAACATTTCTGCCTGGTGATTTCTCAAGCCTGTGAAATTCAACACTGACACCAATTCATAACAGTCCTTAAAAGGAGCATGGGATCATGTGATTAAAATGCTCGGTTGACAATGTATGAGCCCGCATTTGAGATCCGAATGCCGTTGTTTGACAGGATGAGCTCCTGTCATTCTCTTCAGCTCCTGACCATCTAGCACTTCAAAAGCATGGAAACTCAAGTAGATAAATAGGTACCACTTCAGTGAGCATATAAATGGGGATATGAAATGAGCCCCCAACCGGGCATCCCCTAGGCAATGGTGATGTAACCAGCTAATTCTTTCACCCCAGAAACACCTTGGTGTTTCCAAAATGAGTGAGATGAGATAGCGGTTCTTGCAGAGCTAAACTGTGGACACATCTGTCGTTTCCCCCATAAAAAGACATAGGAGAACTCAGGATTTTTCAGATAGGAAAGATGATCCACAATTAAATTTATGTAATAATGCTACTCACGCCTATGAGCAGGAATATTCTGAATTAATAGCACCTGCTAGGAGTTAGATAAGGGTCAGTAGAATTCAAAAGGGGGGGGGGAATTGGGCATATGCATACAGAGAGGGGAGGGAGGGAGGGACAGAGAGAGACCAGTTTCTCACTTCGGCAAGATAAATAGTTATCCAGCTTGCTCAAATTCAGGCCCCTACCAAAACATTTTGATTAATCATGGCAATTGTCATAAGGCCAGTCAAGTATCATGGCTATTAGTTTATATGTTTCAATATATTTCAATATTTTATATGTATATACTTTACTGTATTTTAAATTGGATTGGCTTATATTTTCTTCCATTAATCCAGTTTGATGTAGTAGTTAAGGGACTAGCCTAGACGTCAGGAGACTTGTGTGTTCTAGGTTTCCCTTATGCATGAAAGCTGACTAGGGAGCTTTGGGTGAGCCATTCTTTTTTTCAACCCAATCCACTTCTTGAGTTGTTATGGGAGAATAGGAAATGGAAGAATTATGAATGTTTGCCAACTTTAGCTAGCAAGCTAGATAGGTAAACAGACAAATGTGGGATGAAAATATAATAATAAAAAAATAATGGTTCAAAACAATTCAATTTTTTGTCTATGTGCAATGTCATCCAGAGCCATAATGTTGAATCAGAGCTATAGAGTAATTTAAAACAAAGCCCATTTCATTTAATACAAAGTATTGCATATCAAGATCTCCATAAATATTTTCCCAATATATCTAACAAGGCCTTCAGCAGACTTCAGCAAAGGCTCTAGAAGGATTAGGATTAAGATTAATTTCATTTATATGCCGCCCTTTTCCCCGAAGGGGACTCAGGGCTCACAACTCAGTCAAGGGGAAGGAGGTACAAACAGGGGATAAAAAAGACAAACAAACAATACAGAATTTAAAACACACAACAACCATACCATTCGAGAAGGGGGGGGGCAGAAGCTCTTTAGCCCCAGGCCTGCCGGAATAGCCAGGTTTTAAGGGCTTTGCGGAAGGCCTGGAGGGTGGTGAGGGTTCGAATCTCCACAGGGAGTTCGTTCCAGAGGGTCGGAGCAGCCACAGAGAAGGCTCTCCTCCGGGTAGTCGCCAGTCGGCATTGGCCGGCGGATGGAATTCGGAGGAGGCCTAATCTGTGGGATCTGATCGGTCTATTGGAGGTGATTGGCAGCAGGCGGTCTCTCAAGTACCCAGGTCCAATACCATGAAGGGCTTTATAAGTGACGACTAGCGCCTTGAAGCGTATCCGAAGACCAATAGGCAGCCAGTGCAGCTCGCGGAGGATAGGTGTTACGTGGGTGAACCGAGGTGCACCCACGATCACTCGCGCGGCTGCATTCTGGACAAGCTGAAGTCTCCGAATGCTCTTCAAGGGCTGCCCCATGTAGAGCACCATGTAGAGCCATTGTCCTGTGTGCTACCTGTCTGAGTGCAATCAGCTACAGTCAGCTTCAACTGTAATCATTGTTGTGATCTGTATCTCAGTATACAGTCTGTATAAATCAGGTTGTAACTCTGCTGCTTTTTATATTTATCAAAAGTTCATCTGATGGTTCAAATAATGTATTGATAGACAGACAGACAGACAGACAGACAGACAGACAGACAATACAACCTAAACAATACAATCCTTTTGAGAAAATAAGTTTGGAAATGCACATGGTGAAAGTAAGTTTAAAAAAAAACATTTTAAATAATGATTGTGTTTATTTGTAGAATATCCTCAATTGGCTTTCTATTGTTTTTTTCATTTGCTTTTGTTTTTGGCCTGGTTTAGTTTTTCTTTTGAAAACTGTATTGTAATTTTGTTATGTTCTGTATTGATACTTTGTTTCTTCAATGAAAAGAAAGATCAGTGCTAACACAATACAGATATTAAATGCAGATAGGTATTATGGGTCTGAAACAGATGGTTTTACTCTTTCTTTATCTTAACACAGGAATGGCACTTCACGTACTATTGGTGAAATGTGTATTATTTCTGAGAACTAATTCATAAGTCAGAGTACAGAGTCTGTATGGATGCAATGTATGGGGGCGGGGAAGCAAACGTATCAGAGGAAACAATTTTTTTAAGTCCCTATTTCTTTTTTCTTTAGTTCATCACTTATTTTTAAATTGTAT